GGGGCTGAATAGAAAGAATAACAAAGTGAATAATCCTACTAATGCCCAGCACTGGTAAGTTTTTCTATTCTGTCAATTTTTCTATTCTTTTTAGTCTATATCTTCTTTCGGCTAAATCTCTTTATATTTGTATTATATAGACGAATTTCGTACCGTTCATTTTACTCTTGTTTTTACTTTTTCAATTCTATATTCACATTTGTTTTCGATTTCGGCGATTTCCATTAATCTTCTATCTCTATAAAACATACATATCCTATAACTACTTACTTCTACTTTAGAACAGAATATATTGTAACCGATAAATGTTCTCTGGAGCTTCTTTGATAAGAGATATCATTTGTGACGTTGCTGTAAAATACGACGTTACGAAAGCTTATAAAGCTACATACTAATACATCGTTGACTTACTATATTCAAAACATGATATATGTTAATGAAGACCCGTGTGAATGGAATACGAAATCTTATTGTAATTACTATTTTCAATATATTATTTCTTGGTTAATTCAAGTATAAAAATTTTCAGGAAAGCAACCGATAAAAATTCAGAGATTCCTGTCACTTCGAATGATGCCGATACTCAAATTAGATTTCAAGTCATAAAAGTAAACTTTCTCAATACATTTTATTTATACTGATTGATATAATATAAAATTTTACGTTGGAATGCCGAGCTTCGAGATATTAAGGTAAAATTTCATTATGTTACTATATTATGGTATGTTACTAATGATATTTTTGTGGTATCACGTGTTCTACTTTATCTAACGTACCTTTATTTGTAATATCGGTCACAGGAATGAAAATTGTTCTATTTTCAGAAGTATAATCTCGGATTTATGTAGGCAAAGACGACGTTTATTGGAAGTATCCTATAATTGATATTAAGTAGATAATTTTCTGGAAAAAAGTATTTTTTCAAGTATAGAATGCTTAGTCCAGCAAGAACTAAAGGGTGTAAAATGTGGGTTGGGGAAATTGTACAGTAAACAAACCTTATATTTCGTAACTTTTACCTGCACAATTGCATCTAGTTCATTGTTTTGGTTGTATATTTCTAGCATTTCATTTCTCTTGCATTTCGTGTTGGCTAAAGAGGAAACAGCTTTGTGCTTTAGATAAATGACAATGGCACTTCAAAAGGTAAGTTAAATTAATTTAATGTAAAGTTTAACACAGTGGTAATTTCACGTTTACTTCTGTATGAGGTTCGAGTGATCGACTTCCTGTTTTTGGACATGTGACAATGTGTAATGTGCCAGTTGATTTTGTACTTTCTACAAAGATAAAATTAAAAAAAAAGCAAATTTAGGTCTACAAAACCTTTCTCTTTAACGTGTTAAATAAATAAATATTGATTAACAATAGAAAGTTTTTCTTTGTATTCACTATTTTTAGCAGAGTAAAGGTTTTAAATTTAGTGGTTTCATTTTTCCTTTATGAAGTATATTTTAATTGTTTTTCATCAATGTGTCCTTTCGTTTCAATTTACGTTAACTTAATTAATGAGTAAATATTCTTTATAATATTTCTGACTGTTTTCCCGAAGGAGAGAGGACCGTTTGCAACATCTGTGGACAGAGATTCCGCAAGTTATCATACGGCATCCATATGCCTCCGTGCCTGCCAGTATCACATGATGTATTCATGCTAGAGGTAGCCCAACAGGTTAGGCTACTAGAGAACTACCTTTCTTTTGTACTTTTTCCTGCAATAAATTGTCCTTTTGCTTTCATTTTGTAACCGCTTACTTATATCACCGTTACACTCATAGCTGTACAATTTCGTTCGATTCTGACAACTCTTTGATGCGCTAATTTTTATGCCATTGAGTATACAAAAAATTCAGCAACCAGTTACCTAGCTTTCCCGGCTGTTATGAGAATTTATTTTAAAACATAAATTTATTATTATTGATCATAATGAAATGATGAAGAGGTTTATTTTTCGGTAGAAACGAATTTTAAATTATATTGTAAATGCCAATTACTGTGAGCTCGCGGATTTTTACGGGCTTTTTAAAAATCCAAATTTTCTGTTAATTGTCTTCGGAAAAAACCCGAAGAATTTGAACTAGATCGGATTTCACCGATTGTATAACAGCTAGCTGAGAAAGTTTACAGTTAGGTGTGAAGAATGCATCGTCATCATCAACAAAAGTCAATCACGTAACAGTTTTCCCACGCTAATGATATAAGAGCTGGAATCTCCAGAAGCTCAGGGCGATTCGTCATAGGAAGTTATACTTTGTGATAGTGCCCACCTCGACTCCTGAACCTCCATACAGCGGACTTGATCCAGCTACAAAGAGAGGACATCGGCAAGAAGACACGGAAGACACCACACCCTTCCATACAGACGACGTTCGCCAACTCTCCCTTCCGCCGAGAGGTATTTAGGGGTTAGAATTTGTAAAAGCGCTCTCTCTCGAACAAGAATTTCTGCAGGCCTATATATTTTAATATAACCGCATTTAACCTTAGTATTCTTGTAACGTAGCTTTAGTTATTCAATAAATGCTTGTTATTCTGTTAACCTGTCATTTAAAGGACGCCTGCCGACTTGCTCACCTCCCTCGCCACTAGCCCTCCTAGCCATCCGACGACCCGAGATCGGGCCTTACCTGCCCGTGCAGAGTAAGTGGTCAATTGGAATTTAACCAGTGACCTGCTGCTTATCTCACATTACTATTAAAAATTTCATTAAGTTTTACCCGACTCGAGATATAACACGAGACCTTTCCACTGTTTCCCTTCACCTTAACCTTTATTCACCAAAATTTAGTAAAATCAATGCTCCTTATTAATCAATTACAGTATGAAACTTTGTTCTTATTTTTACTTTCCTGGCTGTTATATATAACAGAGGGAAAGTATGGCAAGTGGTCAAAAAATGAGCTCCTAAGATTACTTCATTTTGGACTCAGTGGACCTTGAAACGGTCAGAAATTTAAAAAAATCGGTTCTTTTTCTTGTATGTATAGCATTTACAATTTTTTTTATAAAACCCATTCCTGCTCTCTAGATTAAGATCTTTGCGAATTTATTATAATAGTTAAAAATTTGAAACGTTTTTAAAATAAAATATGACAACAGATGACGTCACCAAATAATCCGCGAAAGTTAAGCAACTCGTTGCTTGAATTTTTAAAAGTCCTGAAATATTAAACGAAACAGACGCCAACACACACACAAACACAAGCACACAGATGTTTTTGTGTTTATGGAGTCTCAAAACTTCGAAATTTGCAAAGAACCCGTGAGGAAATTTAAGTTTAAAACTAGTACAAAACTTTCACGTGTTATATATATAACGATCTGGAAAATTAATAAGGATAATATTCCTTATGAAAATCATTCAAACCAAACTAGACTTGTAAAGAGGCGTGAATAAACTATGTGCATAACAATAGAATATAGTATTTTATTATTTACAACATTAGCACTTGCAGTGTATATTGGTAGCGAGCAGTCCGAAATTCTGAAATTCCGTGTGGAGTAATTTATAGGATCGCCCGAAGCCTACAATGTTTCCTTCAGATTTTCATTCGGAAAAGCTTGCTGATCACCGCTGTAATAATTTTGTTTACACAACATAATCTAATTTGTATTCGCTATTTTCACACACTTATATAATTAATACTTTATATTCAGTTAAATTGAAAAATGATAAAATAATTATTTGCACTTGCGATACCAATTCACAGAGCCAGTTCTAGGTATTGGCAAAGTAAGCGTACGCTTACGCTATGAGTATGATTAGGGGAGACCGGGGCAACTTCGGCATGCGGGGCAAGTTTGTCAAGCGCTTTTTTTTAAAAACAAATTAAAACGAGACTTTGGTTATAGGTTAGGCAGTTGAGTTTTATTGGTGGCTTGTTGAGTGTAGTGTTTTTATTGTTCTCCAACAAGCGTAGTTGAATTATCAAGCAAATTTTCATTTTCGTTCAATTCCATATAATATTTTTTTTCCATTTATATTGAATTGGCAGGTTTTGTTATAATTCCATGATAACGAAAGTTACTTTTCCTGTTAGAAGGATGTAACTTCAACTTATTCACGTGGCCAGATCGTGGCTTGGCATTCTGTTCTCAGGGTTGTACTTAATGTTTCGAAATCATGACTAGCGGGGTAAGATCGGCAACATAAAGCCACATTAGAAGCAAAGGATAAAAATCAAACAGATGATAAATGAAAACATGTTTGCATTTGTTATTCATGTATATATGTCTTTGAACTTGCATTTCGTTGTAATAATATTAAATGGGTGTTGGATTTGTATTTCTTTGTTTTAATAGTGAATTCCAACTTATACATTGTTAATAACATAATTTTATATACGTGCCTATCTTGCCCCATTACTGTTGCCCCTATACCAGGGGCAACTTTAATAAAAATAATTAAAATAATTACAACTTTACAAAAAGAGAGAAGTTGCCGATCTTGCCCCTATACCCGGGGCAACTTCGTCAATTTCTCTCTTCTTGTAAAGTTGTAATTATTTTAATTATTTTTATTTCCAAACTGATTTTAACCAGTTCTATAGTAAGGTAACATTCCAATAGACAATATGCAAAGCTTTTTTTTCAGTTTACAGCAGTATTTATTACACAAAATTTAAGTAAAGCTTAACATGCCGATCTTGCCCCGATCTCCCCTATACTAGTACATACCGGTCAGGCTGCAGCTTCTGCAAGGGCATTTCCCATTATCATAATTATTAATTAATCAAATTAGAGTAATCGAGGTTACATCACGTAATATACTTCTGACTCAGTGAGGAATTAGATACAGTTTTCGTACTGAGCAGGATGCGTATAAGTATACGAATCCTGCTCAGTATGATTTGCACGTAGATACATCTTATCCGATGAAAAAATGCTGACAGATTTTTATGTAACCAACACTTTTACGACTACATTTCAACCTATTTATAATCAAATATTATAAATAAATGTTAACTTTCTATTCATTAATATAACATCTTGACGAAACTTCTTCTGAACTCAACTAACACGCTAAACCTTTACACTTTAAAATAAATATTATATGTTATCTGTTAGATGTTTAGACTTGATGAATGATACTACATATGCAGTGTATAGAAAAGCATAGACGAGACAAATTAATAGAGAATGGAGAGGAAAGAGAAAAGTAACCCATTCGATACGGTTGGTGTTTTCTCTCGTATATTTTTCTGGTATGTAATATTATTTTCCCCAATTAATAAGTGAAATTTTGTATTATAAATAACTATTAAGTTTAATGTTCATAATGTAATATTTTAAAAGAAAGCCTCTAATATTTTCACACCGTCATTTCATATTATAATACAGGTGTAAATACAAATTATATATTATTTTTTAATTTATTGTTCAGTTTTTATAAGATAACACCGCAAATCTTTCCGTGTGCACGAGACTGTGAAACATACAGTATATATTAATAGGGATTTATGGATTTACGAGATAAATCAAAAAGATTTAATAAAAATTATTTTGTTTATCAAACACGCGATATATTCTGTATTCGATGTGTGTTTAATTTTTCGTTTAATCTAATATATTATGCAAAATATAATTAAAAACTTAATTTGATTAGTTTTTTAAAGCTATTATTTTAACTAAGTAGTAAAAAATTATATAGTTTATGTTATTACCACTCAAACAATTTACAAACGTTTTTTGTAGCTCATGAGACGTTATTGCATAAATATAGAATTACACAGCAATATACTTGGAGAAAACATATTTATATAATTATATACGTGTTTAATTTTATCTGATAAGAATTCGGTCGCTGAAAGTACACGTTGCATAATTTAAATATCTTTCATAACACATGGCAATTGAGAATATTTATCAGTTAAATACATTTATTTCTCATAAATCTTCGATTATAGATCTAAAATATCCAGGAAATTATTTTCGGCCGATAATAACGGCCGAAAATTTGATTAATTAAATATAACGTTTAACGTTATATTTAACATAGCAGACTAAATTTATTTAATTGATAATTTAATTTTCAGCTGTACTATAGATTATCACCTATGGAATTTCGTGACTTTGAGTATATATTTGAACTCAGGGGACCGAGACGAGTTCAACGGTACCCTACTTTTGGACAGAGACGAAAAATAAGAAAGTTATAATATTTACGATTTCTTGCCTTTTACAGTGCATTCCACGCCATTTCAGTTTTTTCTCACCTAGCGGTGACGGTCATCTCCCGGAGGATAGGATAGGTTTGTTAGACATGCCGCGATAGCGGCGCGTAGTAGTATCCGACCTCGAGCGATATCCATCGTGTCGGCGGCTGAGGTCGAGCCCTGAGGTCGAGGAGTGCGGGGGCATGCGAAAAGGACTTAACTCCAACTGCAGACGATCAATGTGCTCGTGGATCAACATCTGCCTCTGTTGAAGGTATATATGGTCGACTTGCTGGACTGCCTGTTAAACACGCGATAGGCTTAGCGGAGAGAGCGACTTGACTCCCGATCATCGCGTGATCGCCTGGAAAAAAGTATGACAACTTTCTTATTTTTCAACTCCGGTCCAAAAGTAGGGTACCGGTGAACTCGTCTCGGTCCCGTGAGTTCAAATATATACTCAAAATCCCGAAACTCCATAGGTAGTAATCTATAGTACAGCTGAAACAGTCTTTAAAGTTTGAAATTAAAAATTCCTTAATTCCAACAATTGATTACGATAACTCATCTGTGTTGATAAACATCGTTCGTTGTGTTGTATTACGATTATAACAGTTTCAGAATTATCAGTACAAGAAAATTACGGTAAACAAGAATAATAATTAAATAAATTTTTTCCAGTTGGGTTTTTCCATTAATAAACGAGGGAAGAAAGCGAGTTTTGACGGAAAAAGATTTATTCGAAATTTCAAAATATCATTCTTCAGAGTATCTTGGAGATTTGCTTCAGAAGTAAGTTAATTATTATTTACTTGTGGACATCGATATTTCAGTTGCTGCTACTTGATTCAATTAGCGTTATTTATCGTTTTGATAAATCTAATCATATTAAATAGCGAAAATTATTATATATATATTAGTCATTATTACTTCTTTATATATATATGAATTATTATTATATAAATATATATAATTACTCGTATACTGAAATATTCATCTTAATATTTAACAATATATAAAGTTATAGCAAAATTTATACTTATTTGATTTACAGTAAATATTTTATTTGACTCACAAGTACTGTACAATAATGCGATAATTGCCCGTGAGGCAATTCACATGTTTTGCAGAATGGAAAAGTGTGAAAAGTGCCACTGAGGAGATGGGATAAACACTGAAACTCCTGACACCAAATGTGTGATCTGACGGGGCGGTAAAACCCTCGCTCACTGAACAAGATGATTCGAATTTGATAGACAAGGAAGATATATGGAATCTTTTGTCGTATGTCGGGGTCCTTTTAGCAGTTAGGATTATTATACGCGTCCCAATTCGCGTTTAAAATGAAATTGTTTTATGCGAGTGGCCTAAAGAAAATAGGTAGGAGATTGTTTACTTTACTTTGGGAAATCGATGGAGGTAGGCAAATTGATAACATAAATTTAAAGTAATCAAATATATTTATTTAAGCGACTATATAACAAAATGTATACAATAAATAATAATACGCAACAATAGGTGATCAGATTAATACTCAATTACTATAATAACGAATTATTAAAATATTATCTACATGGAGAGAGTATCCATTCTATCCTGAAAAAGTCGCGGTGTGAGAGAGCTTACAAATAATATAAATTTGTTATGTAATATTGACGTGCTGTGAGAATCTTATAACACTTTGCAGAAGAAGAGTGAAACTTTTGTAGACTTATAATTTAGCACTGGATGAAAGCACCAAAAATATAAGTGGAAACTTTATCTAAGGGTAACTATTGCCTATGGCTAGAAGCATGGCTGTACGTGACTAAAAGCGTCGGTTGAAGGTAGTCACCTTATATACAAAATGGATGGACCAATGAGATTGTCCACAAGTTCTTGCCCTGGTTCTGTTAATAAGGGAAATCGGGCGTTTGTGAGTCGATATCCAAGTATTAACTATCATTTTCGACAGAACAATTCACTTATCTCTGTGAATCAGAGGAAGAGCAAAGATAATACAGATACAGTAGAACCTCGATTATCCGCCCTAATTGGGGACTGGGGTTGGTCGGATAATTGAAAAGTCGGATAACCGAAAAGTATGAAAAAATCCATTATTAGTGTAGTATATTAGTATATTAGTATATCGCTATTAACCTATTTTGCGTTGAATTTTCATCGATGTTAAGCCTAACAAAAATTTTTTAAAATAATAATCGTCGCTATTGTATCGTTAAAAATTAGAAAATTAAGCTTCGTTTAAATACTGGCTCCCTTTCATGGTCGAATGAGTGTTGCCAGCTAAAACACGTAAAAATAATATTAAAGTAGCCAAGACATAGCCAAATACTGTAGCGCCACATCACTAGCGGACATTTGAAATTTGCCGACTAGGACGGTCGGTTAACCGAGGGGTCGGTTGATCGGGGGCGGATAATCGAGGTTCTACTGTAGATAAATTCTCTATCTTTTTACATTTTAAATAACCTTTTAAAATATCAAACCCATCGAGAACTCCAAAATGTTCCACTACAAACTTCAGGCTCTTACAATAATATTTACTTTTCCTATTTACTTTAAAATTTCAGTACTTGAAATTTTTTACAATCAAAATAATCTACAAAACACATTATTTCACTTATTTTATACTTGTAAATAGATGAATGATTAATTAAATTCATTGTATTTAGTGCTCTGAAAAACATAAACTTTGAGAATTAGTTGATGTGTTTAGTAAAGTACCAAATATAATGCTGCTACAATGTTAAACATGCAAGGACGATTTTCAATAACAATTTAAAACTTAACAGTTGTATAATGTATATAAATACAGTTTTGTAACATTTTACGTAAGTTTTGATATAAGAATATTGTTAACTGACAATTTGTATTTTTTAACATTTCAACCTAACTATTTCAAACACTTGGATTTGCCAATAGTGAAAACCATAATATCAGTAGCACAATTTATTTACTTATGACAAAAGTACTTGCGATTATACAGAATAATAAACCCAGTTATTCCTTTTTTCAATAAATAATATATAATAATTTAAAAAATATATTTAATTTATTCACAATCTAAATATATAAAATTACTTGTCCTGACTGACAGACTGACTTAGTCACTGATTCATCATTGCCCAGAGCAAACCGCTTAACCTAGAGGTGAAATTTGGTACACAGTTAGGGTACGTCATGAAAACACACACTAAGAAGGGATTTTTCGAAATTCCCCAGCGGGGGGGAGAGGGAGAGCATTAAGGTTTAACCTGAAGAACGACTTTTGAAATTGATTCCATACTTTCCCTTAAATTGATAACATTTCAGACATTGTTATAAATATTTTTTTTATATATTTCGATTTTTTAACCAAATGTTCGAACCATTTTAAATTTGAATTTGTTATTGCATATTGGTTTGATTATAGAACGATTGTAAATGTTCCAGAAAATTGATCAAACTGAAAACAGTTCGTTTGATTCTCAGCAATTCTCATTATTCTCAGCGGTAGGAGTCATATAACAATTACTATGGTTGTTGAAATACTGAATATAAATGGGATTTGCTTGCAAAACCTCCGCGGGCGAAGTCGCGGGTAACAGCTAGTTAGTTATAAAACTAATCGATTAAAATTTCCAGAAATTTATGAAAAAATCTTTACTTTTCTAATTTTTCAACCTGAAGAACATGCTCTGTGAACTTTAGAATTGCACACAGCACGCAGAGTTACCGAATGAAAAATCTCGACATTTCACAGGTGCCACGTGACTAAACTCTTCACTAAAATTCACAGGAAAATCGCCTAGACGTCACACTTGCGATCTTCGAGCGGATTGAGCAATTTGCCAAAATATAGGTTTAATATTCTGAAAGATGCTTTAAGTTAAAAAATCGATTTGCTTCAAACTATTATTTTCGAAATGTGGAACACACCTGGTTTTTTCTCAGCATGTAACTTTCATTTCTGCATGGATTCAAATATTTTTTAAATCAATTTTTAGGCTTTATTGCAATTTATTTTCAGAGAATGGAACAAGGAATTGCANTTTTATTTCCAAACTGATTTTAACCAGTTCTATAGTGAGGTAACATTCCAATAGACAATATGCAAAGCTTTTTTTTCAGTTTACAGCAGTATTTATTACACAAAATTTAAGTAAAGCTTAACATGCCGATCTTGCCCCGATCTCCCCTATACTAGTACATACCGGTCAGGCTGCAGCTTCTGCAAGGGCATTTCCCATTATCATAATTATTAATTAATCAAATTAGAGTAATCGAGGTTACATCACGTAATATACTTCTGACTCAGTGAGGAATTAGATACAGTTTTCGTACTGAGCAGGATGCGTATAAGTATACGAATCCTGCTCAGTATGATTTGCACGTAGATACATCTTATCCGATGAAAAAATGCTGACAGATTTTTATGTAACCAACACTTTTACGACTACATTTCAACCTATTTATAATCAAATATTATAAATAAATGTTAACTTTCTATTCATTAATATAACATCTTGACGAAACTTCTTCTGAACTCAACTAACACGCTAAACCTTTACACTTTAAAATAAATATTATATGTTATCTGTTAGATGTTTAGACTTGATGAATGATACTACATATGCAGTGTATAGAAAAGCATAGACGAGACAAATTAATAGAGAATGGAGAGGAAAGAGAAAAGTAACCCATTCGATACGGTTGGTGTTTTCTCTCGTATATTTTTCTGGTATGTAATATTATTTTCCCCAATTAATAAGTGAAATTTTGTATTATAAATAACTATTAAGTTTAATGTTCATAATGTAATATTTTAAAAGAAAGCCTCTAATATTTTCACACCGTCATTTCATATTATAATACAGGTGTAAATACAAATTATATATTATTTTTTAATTTATTGTTCAGTTTTTATAAGATAACACCGCAAATCTTTCCGTGTGCACGAGACTGTGAAACATACAGTATATATTAATAGGGATTTATGGATTTACGAGATAAATCAAAAAGATTTAATAAAAATTATTTTGTTTATCAAACACGCGATATATTCTGTATTCGATGTGTGTTTAATTTTTCGTTTAATCTAATATATTATGCAAAATATAATTAAAAACTTAATTTGATTAGTTTTTTAAAGCTATTATTTTAACTAAGTAGTAAAAAATTATATAGTTTATGTTATTACCACTCAAACAATTTACAAACGTTTTTTGTAGCTTATGAGACGTTATTGCATAAATATAGAATTACACAGCAATATACTTGGAGAAAACATATTTATATAATTATATACGTGTTTAATTTTATCTGATAAGAATTCGGTCGCTGAAAGTACACGTTGCATAATTTAAATATCTTTCATAACACATGGCAATTGAGAATATTTATCAGTTAAATACATTTATTTCTCATAAATCTTCGATTATAGATCTAAAATATCCAGGAAATTATTTTCGGCCGATAATAACGGCCGAAAATTTGATTAATTAAATATAACGTTTAACGTTATATTTAACATAGCAGACTAAATTTATTTAATTGATAATTTAATTTTCAGCTGTACTATAGATTATCACCTATGGAATTTCGTGACTTTGAGTATATATTTGAACTCAGGGGACCGAGACGAGTTCAACGGTACCCTACTTTTGGACAGAGACGAAAAATAAGAAAGTTATAATATTTACGATTTCTTGCCTTTTACAGTGCATTCCACGCCATTTCAGTTTTTTCTCACCTAGCGGTGACGGTCATCTCCCGGAGGATAGGATAGGTTTGTTAGACATGCCGCGATAGCGGCGCGTAGTAGTATCCGACCTCGAGCGATATCCAGCGTGTCGGCGGCTGAGGTCGAGCCCTGAGGTCGAGGAGTGCGGGGGCATGCGAAAAGGACTTAACTCCAACTGCAGACGATCAATGTGCTCGTGGATCAACATCTGCCTCTGTTGAAGGTATATATGGTCGACTTGCTGGACTGCCTGTTAAACACGCGATAGGCTTAGCGGAGAGAGCGACTTGACTCCCGATCATCGCGTGATCGCCTGGAAAAAAGTATGACAACTTTCTTATTTTTCAACTCCGGTCCAAAAGTAGGGTACCGGTGAACTCGTCTCGGTCCCGTGAGTTCAAATATATACTCAAAATCCCGAAACTCCATAGGTAGTAATCTATAGTACAGCTGAAACAGTCTTTAAAGTTTGAAATTAAAAATTCCTTAATTCCAACAATTGATTACGATAACTCATCTGTGTTGATAAACATCGTTCGTTGTGTTGTATTACGATTATAACAGTTTCAGAATTATCAGTACAAGAAAATTACGGTAAACAAGAATAATAATTAAATAAATTTTTTCCAGTTGGGTTTTTCCATTAATAAACGAGGGAAGAAAGCGAGTTTTGACGGAAAAAGATTTATTCGAAATTTCAAAATATTATTCTTCAGAGTATCTTGGAGATTTGCTTCAGAAGTAAGTTAATTATTATTTACTTGTGGACATCGATATTTCAGTTGCTGCTACTTGATTCAATTAGCGTTATTTATCGTTTTGATAAATCTAATCATATTAAATAGCGAAAATTATTATATATATATTAGTCATTATTACTTCTTTATATATATATGAATTATTATTATATAAATATATATAATTACTCGTATACTGAAATATTCATCTTAATATTTAACAATATATAAAGTTATAGCAAAATTTATACTTATTTGATTTACAGTAAATATTTTATTTGACTCACAAGTACTGTACAATAATGCGATAATTGCCCGTGAGGCAATTCACATGTTTTGCAGAATGGAAAAGTGTGAAAAGTGCCACTGAGGAGATGGGATAAACACTGAAACTCCTGACACCAAATGTGTGATCTGACGGGGCGGTAAAACCCTCGCTCACTGAACAAGATGATTCGAATTTGATAGACAAGGAAGATATATGGAATCTTTTGTCGTATGTCGGGGTCCTTTTAGCAGTTAGGATTATTATACGCGTCCCAATTCGCGTTTAAAATGAAATTGTTTTATGCGAGTGGCCTAAAGAAAATAGGTAGGAGATTGTTTACTTTACTTTGGGAAATCGATGGAGGTAGGCAAATTGATAACATAAATTTAAAGTAATCAAATATATTTATTTAAGCGACTATATAACAAAATGTATACAATAAATAATAATACGCAACAATAGGTGATCAGATTAATACTCAATTACTATAATAACGAATTATTAAAATATTATCTACATGGAGAGAGTATCCATTCTATCCTGAAAAAGTCGCGGTGTGAGAGAGCTTACAAATAATATAAATTTGTTATGTAATATTGACGTGCTGTGAGAATCTTATAACACTTTGCAGAAGAAGAGTGAAACTTTTGTAGACTTATAATTTAGCACTGGATGAAAGCACCAAAAATATAAGTGGAAACTTTATCTAAGGGTAACTATTGCCTATGGCTAGAAGCATGGCTGTACGTGACTAAAAGCGTCGGTTGAAGGTAGTCACCTTATATACAAAATGGATGGACCAATGAGATTGTCCACAAGTTCTTGCCCTGGTTCTGTTAATAAGGGAAATCGGGCGTTTGTGAGTCGATATCCAAGTATTAACTATCATTTTCGACAGAACAATTCACTTATCTCTGTGAATCAGAGGAAGAGCAAAGATAATACAGATACAGTAGAACCTCGATTATCCGCCCTAATTGGGGACTGGGGTTGGTCGGATAATTGAAAAGTCGGATAACCGAAAAGTATGAAAAAATCCATTATTAGTGTAGTATATTATTATATCCCATGTAATTAGTATATTAGTATATCGCTATTAACCTATTTTGCGTTGAATTTTCATCGATGTTAAGCCTAACAAAAATTTTTTAAAATAATAATCGTCGCTATTGTATCGTTAAAAATTAGAAAATTAAGCTTCGTTTAAATACTGGCTCCCTTTCATGGTCGAATGAGTGTTGCCAGCTAAAACACGTAAAAATAATATTAAAGTAGCCAAGACATAGCCAAATACTGTAGCGCCACATCACTAGCGGACATTTGAAATTTGCCGACTAGGACGGTCGGTTAACCGAGGGGTCGGTTGATCGGGGGCGGATAATCGAGGTTCTACTGTAGATAAATTCTCTATCTTTTTACATTTTAAATAACCTTTTAAAATATCAAACCCATCGAGAACTCCAAAATGTTCCACTACAAACTTCAGGCTCTTACAATAATATTTACTTTTCCTATTTACTTTAAAATTTCAGTACTTGAAATTTTTTACAATCAAAATAATCTACAAAACACATTATTTCACTTATTTTATACTTGTAAATAGATGAATGATTAATTAAATTCATTGTATTTAGTGCTCTGAAAAACATAAACTTTGAGAATTAGTTGATGTGTTTAGTAAAGTACCAAATATAATGCTGCTACAATGTTAAACATGCAAGGACGATTTTCAATAACAATTTAAAACTTAACAGTTGTATAATGTATATAAATACAGTTTTGTAACATTTTACGTAAGTTTTGATATAAGAATATTGTTAACTGACAATTTGTATTTTTTAACATTTCAACCTAACTATTTCAAACACTTGGATTTGCCAATAGTGAAAACCATAATATCAGTAGCACAATTTATTTACTTATGACAAAAGTACTTGCGATTATACAGAATAATAAACCCAGTTATTCCTTTTTTCAATAAATAATATATAATAATTTAAAAAATATATTTAATTTATTCACAATCTAAATATATAAAATTACTTGTCCTGACTGACAGACTGACTTAGTCACTGATTCATCATTGCCCAGAGCAAACCGCTTAACCTAGAGGTGAAATTTGGTACACAGTTAGGGTACGTCATGAAAACACACACTAAGAAGGGATTTTTCGAAATTCCCCAGCGGGGGGGAGAGGGAGAGCATTAAGGTTTAACCTGAAGAACGACTTTTGAAATTGATTCCATACTTTCCCTTAAATTGATAACATTTCAGACATTGTTATAAATATTTTTTTTATATATTTCGATTTTTTAACCAAATGTTCGAACCATTTTAAATTTGAATTTGTTATTGCATATTGGTTTGATTATAGAACGATTGTAAATGTTCCAGAAAATTGATCAAACTGAAAACAGTTCGTTTGATTCTCAGCAATTCTCATTATTCTCAGCGGTAGGAGTCATATAACAATTACTATGGTTGTTGAAATACTGAATATAAATGGGATTTGCTTGCAAAACCTCCGCGGGCGAAGTCGCGGGTAACAGCTAGTTAGTTATAAAACTAATCGATTAAAATTTCCAGAAATTTATGAAAAAATCTTTACTTTTCTAATTTTTCAACCTGAAGAACATGCTCTGTGAACTTTAGAATTGCACACAGCACGCAGAGTTACCGAATGAAAAATCTCGACATTTCACAGGTGCCACGTGACTAAACTCTTCACTAAAATTCACAGGAAAATCGCCTAGACGTCACACTTGCGATCTTCGAGCGGATTGAGCAATTTGCCAAAATATAGGTTTAATATTCTGAAAGATGCTTTAAGTTAAAAAATCGATTTGCTTCAAACTATTATTTTCGAAATGTGGAACACACCTGGTTTTTTCTCAGCATGTAACTTTCATTTCTGCATGGATTCAAATATTTTTTAAATCAATTTTTAGGCTTTATTGCAATTTATTTTCAGAGAATGGAACAAGGAATTGCAGAAGGGGAATTCGAGCATACTGAAAGCTTTATTACGTTTCGTTGGTTGGAAATACTTAATAATAATGTTACTTTCAATCATTCAGGTATTATGACTACCGATTTGAAAGACGTAAAACATGTGCTAAATAATTTAAATAATTGATATTTATCTTCATTTGCAGGCAACGTTGTTAACTGCAGGCCAAGCATACTTCGTAGGATTAATAATAAATTATTTTGAGAACAGACAGGAATTGAATCAATACAACATTTATGCTACAGTTGCGGGATTTTTTGGCCTAATTGCGATTTATTTGTTTGTAGTTAATATTCTTGTGTTTATAACTGAATTACATGCAATGAAGTTAAAGATAGCTTTCTGCACTCTTACATATAGAAAGGTGAGTAGCAAATATAATGTATTATAAGTGAAGTATTACTTTTATATTCTTCATACAATAGTGAAGTTTTATTAAGTGGATCGAAGAGATTAAAATCAAATGCAAACTGTTTGTAAAAGACTCTGCCAGCAATAATTTGTTTTGTAATTTTATCTTTGAAAGTAATTTGAAATATATTGTGAAGATATGAAATCTCAGTTTATATAAACCACATATAACACCTTATTTTACCAAGGGAAACGCTTAATAATCACGAACGTTTTCGGCTTGTTCTACAAGCCATCTTCATGCGTTATATTAAATTCTATCGTTAGAATATAACATTCTAACGGAATTTCGAATATAATAAATTTAAATATGAATAAAAGAATATTAAACAATTTTTTAAAAAGACAACATTACAAAAAAATCAAATTACATTAATAGTCAATGATGAAACATAAATTATAATTACAATAAATGTGTTAATATAGAATGTAAAGCCAAAAATGAAAATGTAATGTTGGTTCGTTTGACCGAAGGGCAATCTATAAATTGGTATGCTTTAGTTTTTCTCCACCATGTATTTCCATGCTGATGGTAATATTTCAGAGTTCCTAGCGTTTAGACACTTCTCCATTAACTGAGATTTAGAGGCTTACAAACTTTTTAGATATGACAAAAAAAAAAAAACAGGCAGGAGTCTATAGAATTGCGTAAAAAGCGAACAGTTGAGAATCAAAAAGAGTACATTGGAGCCACAAAATCAAAATGTCGAAGTATGCCTTTTTTTGATATCGTTTAAGGACAGTGTTGCACTGAGTTGTCTACATGGCGCAAGCGAAATGATCAATTGTAAAATGGGAAAGCCGACATCATAAAACCAGTGCATTCCCATTACGGATGAGTACAGAAAAGTTGGAAATATACCGAAGTATAAAGATGTGTGTCTGACGCTAAAAAATTACCATCAACGTGGAAATACATAGCGGAGAAAAACTAAAGTATATTAATATATAGATTGCCCTTCGGTCAAACGAAGCAATATTACATTTTCATTTTTTCTTAATTGCACAATTTATTAATTTTCGAAGCAATATTCTTAATTTCACAAATAAAATTAAGATTTACCACACAGGAAAATATCTGAAATATAGACCGAAATCACTAACATGGAATTGTTATTTTCCAGGATGCAATTTAGATCTAGTCTTCTCTTCAGCTGCTGACAACACTTTTATAGCAATAGCTCTCAGTGAAGTCAAGAGAAATTTGTTATTTAATAATAATTATTGATAGGATAATATAGAGTGTCATATGCTGAGTATTACTATTAGGATTATAAAATAAACTCAAAAGATTTTAACTGGAAGTAAACCAAAGAATTATATCTTAGACAAGTCTATATTGTTAGAAAATTTAACATATTAGTTTTTCTGAGAACTTTACTAAATTTTATTACACTAGTATTAACACTAGTATTAATATTATAGTAGTATTTTTCATTAAAAATAATATAATTTTCCAAAAATATTTATTACGCATAAAACTTTCATTTGTAGGCAATTAGGTTATGTCCTTCGTCTCTGGAAAGATCAAATGTGGGACAAAAGGTCAATCTCCTAGCGAATGACGTCAGCAAATTCCAAAATGTAAGTTAAAAATAATGTTCTAAACAACATGTTTAATTAGTATATACCACACAAACCCATATATTTCGCCGCGTATTATACAGTCCCGACGAAAACAGCTTGGACAGAAAGCCATTTTAATATATCTTCAGTAATTTCAAACTGAAAAATTTTATATACTTATAATTATTTTATATTGCTAAACTTTGATTATAACTGAAGTTTACAACTGACAAATACAACAGCTTTCATATGATCGTTCTTTGTGTCAACAAGAGCCTGGCCTTCATTTCGAGTGATTTAACACGAAATTTGCTTGAATTTTTGCTTAAACTATCCACATTTTCTTGTGGACTTTCTCTTAATACGTTTTTAATTCTACACCACATATTCTCTATAGGGGAAAAGTCAGGACTGTTAGACGGGCATTAATTTTAATATTTTCATATTATGTTGGGCCAGACAAGTATGGCAACATGATATGCGACACACACGTTATTATCTAAAGGTTTTTTCTTGTCATGAGATTTCCTATGTAACGCGGAGATTTTTCGCTCTGACGTCATTTCTGGTATTGTTTACATTTATAAAAGAATAACTCTTATCGAATAGAATGAAAAGTGTGGGATAGTGCAGTACATACTGTATGAGTGGAAAATAAATTTCATGTGCTCGTGAATATTGATTGTATGCAAGAACATATTCTGTTCAGTTTTACAAGATTCTCAATTGTTTTTAAAATTACATGGACATGCTCTCTGTAATCTTCAAACTGATAAAAGGGTGGAGATAATCAATTCAAAAATGCAGCGAAATGCGCACATATAAAATATACAGAAATGTCTGCCATATTGATAACACATAAATTTTAGAATTTTTCGAAAACACAAAAACCCAGTAATCCACCATTATCAATAATTTTCAACACTGATACTGTAGCTGCCAGAATAACAATCCTGCAATGTAAAAACAAAAGTAGCTCGTGCATACTTTATGATTTCAAAAATGATTAAACTCAAATTTATATTAATTTTAATTAAATTAATAGTTATATATGTATATAACTTTCATCTATTTCAGAATGTTGCCTGTCTTCCACCTTTAGTTATGTCTCCTTTTTTCATCATTACTTCGATAGCCATGTTGTGGAAGTATTATGGATGGACTATTCTAATTGGATTCTTAGTCATATTTATCTATCTTCCTATACAAATTGCTTTCAGTAAACTATATTCAAAATTGAGGTAATTATTATTTTAAATTATATAATTGTAAAGTATCTGTAAAGAAATAAATAAATCGTTCATTATTTAATAATTATTAATAGAAATGGAATTGATGTATTTAACATACATAAAATTTAATGTACTTAATTGAAATCTATTCTACATTAGCTGATAGTAAAAATGATAAAATGATCAATGTGTTAGCAGAATGATTTGAAATGCCAAGGTTCGAATCCTTCGAGCAACCCAAGTTTTTCAATAGGATGTATGATACAAAAATATTAGATGAGGGCCAACATATGTAGACATGCCGTTATGGACCTGACCGAACCCATTATGGCTATATTATGATTAAAAACCTCCTCATATTAACCACAGGATAAAAAATCAAATATTAAAATAGTTGTTTTTATAAGCGAAAAAATATATTTAGAAACTGGCTTTTCATTTTTGGAGCAGTTTTTGTGCAATTGTGCATAAAGTATATTTGGAAAATAAATATTATACGCTCATGAATCACGTGAATGTTTATTTGGTGCAATTATATGTTAATTAACGTCTTTCTAGGTTTTCTATTCTTTCTTAACGTGGTATAATCAGACACCGTATCATCATCGGACTGATTAAAAAAGCATTAAAAAAATCAAAAGGAATAGCAAAGTGCGCTGCTATAAAATGAAAGCATAGAAAACGTTTGAGCTTATATCCGCATGATTCAGGCCAGAGTTTGTATTACAGGAAAGTAAAGATAATTTTGTGAAGATATTAAAGGTGCGTCTAAATTGTTTCACTGTTGTAGAAGTCATAATGTTTTTGCTGTACAATTAATCCTTTATTATTGTTGTAATCATAGTACTAAAGTTTCATTCAATTACATTGAATCTTTTTTGGTGCATATTGTTTTTTCAATGAGCGTATGGTATTAATTATGATACCAAAATAGAAAGTTTTTTTATAATACTTTAGATTCAGTGAGACTATTGCATTTTCAGTACGGATCTGTGTTTAAAATAAATCGGTCACTAATGGTGTATTCTATAACGAAAGTGTTTTATTATATTTTAATTTGTAACATTACTAATGACCCTAGTGAGGTGTTTGGGAGAATAACACTAATCCAGTAGAAGTTTTCGCAATGAAAAGTTTGACATTGTCAATAGCCAATAATGTGTAGCCAACATGCATTTGATAAAGCAAAACGAAATGTAAATCAATAACAATGTATTTTATCTTTACGTTTTATTAAGTTTAAAAGAACTTTAAATAAAAATACTCTGAAGAATTGAGCAGCTTTTTCAATAGCTTGACCAGATTCTAACCTGCCCACGGCTCGCCATCTTTGACCATTACCCAAATTACTATTTTGAGACATAGCAAACAAACTGCCTATTCCGTAATTGAAGTATCAAAGCACAGTATAAAACACCCGATTTTACATATAAGTTGATTTGTATATTTCTAACAGAGCCAATGTATACTTTACTCGTGTTTCGATGTATGCTTATCACACAAACTATAGAAAAAATTCCATTCAATAAAACTCGTACATTCGCTTATAATCTGAGAATTTGTATATCGTCTTTATTTTTTTTGCAGGGGAGTGTAGTATAAAAAGTTGTTGAAATAGCATAAACAAAACTTTTGTAATATTCAGTACTACATAAATGAACGTCTTCGCTTTAAAGTAACATTGTCTTTAGATATAAAATATATGTCCAGTATTTAACTTTATACAATTTTGTAACCGTATATATTTATATATATTTAAATATAATTGCATAATAGATTACAAGCAGCTGTATTGGGAGACGAAAGATTGAATCTGTTGAACGAGATGATTGCTGATATGAGATTAATCAAGATGTACACCTGGGAATCGCCATATGCCGCTTTAATAGAAAAAATCAGAATGTAAGTGCAATGAAATATATTAAAATTTGTATAAAACGGAACCTAAATAAAACGAATTAATGCGTAAACAGAGAAAATTTTCCGGAAGCGCGTTTCTGTTTAAAAAAGTAAACGCTGTTCAGAGCATAAATATTCCAAATTGGAGAAAATATTTGACATCATTCAATTCCGATTTACACTGGTTTTATTGTAATTTAGAATGTTAATGTGTTAATCTTTAAATAATTACTTTCAGAATTCTACAATTAGTATTATTTAATTGTTTATATTTGCAGGAAAGAAATGAAAAAAATTCGAATGTTTTTATATGCAAGTGGAATATTAATTATATTGGGTTATCCTATATCGAAATTATTTACTTTCTTCACATATCTCGCATTTCTTTTAAATGGAGGACAATTAAATGCCGAAATTGTATTCGTCACAATGACGTTTTCAATGTATATCTTCATCTACATTATTTGTCTAGTTTCTCACGCATTGGGATCTGTTGCAGAAATTTTGGTTTCATTAAAGAGGATACAGGTATTGAGCAATTTTTAAATTATTCTTTTCAAAGTTTATTATTGAAATACTAACTCAGAAATTACTCGAGGATATGAACATTTAATTACTAATATTATTGTAAATATAGATATCAAATATTAAAAGAAGTTAGTAACGAAAACTGAATAACTATGAAACCTGCCTAAACAGGGAAAATGTACTGAATAGAGTCTATTCAATAGAAGATATTTTGTGGTAAATTATACAAGAAATCGGAAAACGTACTTACATAGGAAAAGTCTACTGAATAGCCAATATTGTGTGATAAAATTCACAATAAACCCGAAATCTTCACAACGCAAAACTACAAAACTTTTTATGTACGAAGAACGTCTGAATAAAGCGTGAAATTAGAATTCCACTTGTATATGAAATTGCTTCCATCTACCGATGTCAGCATGTATCATGAAAATTTGTATTCTGTGAACAAGTTTGAAGTTTTGAATCATTTAAGATTAACGAATGTCACGAGGATGAACACAAGACACGAATTTATTTTAATCAGTAGATTAGTTGTTTATTGATAAATTGATTATTTAAAAATTTTCTTGGTTTTTTTCAATCGACTATAATCCATTTGAGGAGTTTAAAATCATTACCTGGGTCTTAATCACCTAGTTCATCTCAAACCCATGTATAAACTTTTATTCCCAACACTAACATTTTTGAAATTTTAATTTAGAATTTCCTCCTCCTTCAAGAAAAAGATAACAATGCAGTCAAAACTGTAGAAGAGGAAAAAAATTTAACAGAATACGAAATACGAATGGATAGGGTCGCAGCTGCTTGGAAAAAAGTAAGACATAGCTTCGAATTTAATATAAGTTTTGCAATGAAAATTTTATCTGTTACGATTTGTTTAATTCGATAATTTTAAAGTGGATATATCATGAATATGGAATTTATGATACATCCACTTCGTGTAGAATGATGTGATCGTCACTGGTTATTTTCTTTATGAATTTACATCTGTTAAAGTGATGGAATAGTTAGCATCGTGTGTTAAGATTTGAACCGAAATAACAGTCATTTTGGCCTACAAGTGGATAAATGGATAACACTACAGAACAATGGTAGTTGATGTCGGGTTCACACTCGATCAATGAGTTGAATTTGTAGAATTTTACCGAATTTTTTTTATGTATGTGAATTCGAAAGCTTTTCCATACAAAGCCATTCTAGAAGGCATTGCGCTCTCGAAAGATTTTCTATGCAAAATTACAAATGCCTTCGATCGCATTTGTAACTTTACAAACATTTCGTTATTTTCTAAATTCTGTAGCCCTATGCATGAACTCGTATTCCACATATATGTTAAATTGAATAAAATGAGATTTAATCTATGTTTGTAACTGCACAAATGGGTGGGGAGTGTTACGGTTCAGCGAATGATCTCATAAACGAATTGTTACTACGTGATATTCTTAAATATTTGGTATTGTTACGTTAATAACACTAGACAGGACACAACATATTATCGGAAAAATTTCAGAGGATGAGAGATTATTGTAATGTTACTAAACATTCAATTCACAAACAATGTGTAGCTTACGTATAAATGATTTTTAAAACAATAAACAATAATTAATTTTAAATCTATATTTATAAATGAGAATGTTTGTTTGTTAGCTATACACACCTAGGCCGTTAGACGAATTGCTATGAAACTCTGCATTTATGTTTTATATATCCTTAACTAAGATAATGTTGTACTTCCCATCCCAAAATATCTACTGGATTTCTGTAAATTAATAAATTGCTATCCTCATTCGATTTGCTGATTTACACGTAGCGCCATCTATTAAAAAATTAACAAAATAATAATCTAAATATAATTCTTATAGAAAAATATATAATTTTAAAATATATATATTATATTCACTTAATTACTGCGACAATGATATAGCGCAAATAGACGCACTATGTAATAACTACAACAGATAGCATATAGCACTTGCCTGCGTGCATTCGAAAATGTTACTCTGTGAAAGTCTATAGTACTGTATTTAATTTTCCACATCTAAGAACTCGGGTTATTTCATTTCTGAATAGTACTTTCTTAATTCTAATAAGTGCCTTCTAGTAGCCGAGTGTAAAACCACCAAACTCTGGTAGTTAGTTATTCGTAGATTTGGGCCAATGGTCTGGCCACGTGGAGTTTTCTGAGTTTTCTTCACCTAAAAAGAGGCCTGCTTCCCATAAAAGTTTTCCTGAGATGCAGCCCTCCCAGCAAATCGCTCACGTGTCGCATTGCTGTAACTAAATAAACCAAACTAATTCGACGGAGCGATTATTTATTGTGACATCGTCACAATGCCGGCCTGCAACTTTTCGTCACAATGTTCTCTATCTTTTATTCATACTTTTGCTCCTGTGCATCATACTTTTCCTGTTAGCAATAGAGTCGTGCTAGTCAGCTATCTAACTTCGTTCAGGGGAAAATTTGAATCCAAGTAACGTGACATCTATTCCAAACCCGAAGTTTCTATACAGTTAATCTGGGTCTCCTGCCTCTAATTTTACTACCTCTGGCCTCGACTCTCATGTTTCTCTTTTCTCTATATTGAGGAAGGATAGAGAGTTCGAGCATCATGATAAACGTGACACTGGTAGACTAAAAAAACCAAACTCTTTATATGATTTTCGTTTTAATATTTATTAAATTATATTATTTGATTTATATAACTACGAAGGTTATCTTACGTTAAAGTTTATCACACAGAGTGATTAATCTAGCAGAAGTTTAAAATTCTTTCTGCTTCTACTGTACACAATTTAAAGAAGTTTTTAAATACGTGACATTACGCAATTAGTGTTTTAAACCCTTACGTAAGATAGCATTTGTAGTTATATAAATCAAATAATATATTGTAATATAATAGAAGGGTTAGAAGTACGAAATAATCTAATAATCTTAATGTTCGTTATTATCCTTTTCCCGAGCAACACCGGGCTCATCTGCTAGTTTTATAATAATTATTAACATATATTTTCGATTACTTTAAACTGACATTATCATAAATTAATTTATAGTTTATTATTAATATTTCTGATTTATAACTTTTATGATTAGCTGTGTATATTTTAATAACTGCTTCTTTTTTTGTTTTTTTAAAGGGATTTGAACCAACATTAAATGGAATATCACTAAACATGCAGTCTGGAGAATTATTAATTGTCATAGGCCCTGTTGGATCGGGGAAGGTAAATATTTTGTTTTATATTTTAACTTAAAATTATATCGTTTATGATTTAAAGATTATGGAAAAAATTAATAAAAATGAATTAGATAAATGGTTACATTTTCTTATTTAGAATAAAATGAATTTTCAAATTTATATACTTGCATGTCATGTTTAAATAATTTTATCTGTTTTTGATTCTAATCGTTAAAAAGAAAATATAGGCTATATTCTGTGTACTTATACAAAACGGCGGGTGTTATTCGTATCATGTACGATAAAAGATAAATTGTTGGACAAGTATTCGTATTATATAACTCGTTGTGTTCGTAATCTGTTATAGTATTTTCTTCTGTTACATGTATTGTTGACATAAAACGAACTGACTGATAACAAGTGAAGATACGACCGAGAAGCTGGTTGTAGATGCATATAATTACGTGTTCAAGTCAGTGCTCATTTATTAAATCGAATCTAATCATGAATATTTATCTAAAATTATTAACACGATAATTTTATCACTTTATTTTCGTCTTAGAAAATTATTTAAAATTATTCATAACACAAAAGTTATTCTCATTACATAATTTCTAATTTGTCAAAGTATAACAATTGATTATATAGAAATGTCTATATTCTACTATTATTAAGCCAGTAAGTTGTTACAAGCAACGAATAGAATAAGTTTTGAAATACAGAATTGTAGAATATTTGTTCTTCAATTTGAAATTTCAGAGGACACATGTTGAAAGGATATTAGAGTGTATCTAGTGATATGTTTAACTGTTTAATGCCTGATTCTATCATTAGTTTTTTGTTTGGTTACATTTACGTCTAACGTTGTCACAAGAATATTCTGCATGTAAAGGTTTGTTTGTTTTATTAAGTTATGGAAACGCAACATTTGGACAATCTGCCTAGGGGAATGCCTTCCGGGAGGTCTTTTTAAGGGTAACTGGCCCGTATTTAAACGTGAACAAAACCCAGAAAGCTCCACATGGACATCCTGGCGAGGCGCGAACCCACGACCGAACTCCCATTGTTCAGGGAATTGGACCACTTAGTCACTGGTGGGCCTTCTTCACGTAGGGGAAGGTCAAGGACTTTAAACTACAAGGATAGCCAGATCCCGTATATTTGTTAGCGTGACCTTGGCTCTATGTGACGTCACAGCAAACCCTCTACTTCAACATGACAGATCTTTCAAATAACAAAATACGATAAAATATTAAATCATTTCTTAATTAATTATTAAATTACTACTAAATGTAAACTACTGTAGAATTTTCGGATTTAATAAGTGTACTGTACGTCAATAAATTTACAAGTCTTTTGTCTAATATTTATTTAACAAATTAATGAGCTATATTTTTTATTATGTGATTATCTTACTTAACTTTTTAATTTTTTTTCGACAATCACCATTTTCAGAAGGCATTCTTTTCAATATTTTATAGTTTTCTTGTTTAAGATTTCTATAATTAATTCTTATTATAGTTCTTAATTTACAAAAATCTTTTATTAAAGTAAAAGGTAAAACTGTTTCCACTGACTAATTCTGTACAACTCCGGGGCCTTTTTTATACGATTCATCGTGATATATTTCGAAATATTTATTCCATTCTATAATTTTTGCTAGCCATTCATCAGTAGGTTTAATAAGCCCTCCATAAGATAAATGTTGCACCCATGACGGAATGCTATAGTTGTAATGATTTTTAATTTTGTTAGTGGAATTAATTAAGTTTGGGTATTTTTCTTTATATTTATAGGCAAAATATCCTGCTATATACTCGAGAGCATCGTAGGAAGTTTCTTCAGAGATTGTGTTAAAGTCTAGATTGCATGTAGAGTTTCCTGAAGATTTATTTGAAGAAAAAGTAGTTTTACATTCAGTATATTGGTCTGTATTTTCACTTGATACTTCTACATGTGCTTTCTCTAAAACTTTGGGTATAATATATTCCTCTTGTCTTCGATCTGTAGTATTTACTTTTGACTCTAAAATACCAGGATTCTTACCTAAAATAATCAATCTAATCCTATATATAGCATTTAATGGGCTTGGATGTTCATTAGGACCCCGGCTTCTAATTTGAAAAAAAAAAATTTTCCAGACAATCTTGATTTAAGTGCAGATGTATTTTATATCAAAAGTCGATTTCATATCTTGAAAAAGATCAATTAGCGATTTCATTGAGATTATCATTCCTTTCTGGAAAATTTGGAGGGCATTTTTTCCACTTGCTCTCATTGTTGAGATTATTTTTATCATTTTATTTAAATGTTCTTCTTGTAATTCCAAGTCTACACCATATCCATTTTTGCTTGGAACAGAACCTTTTGGTGCATAGCTATTAAAAATGTCGAACCACATATTTATATCTCTAATATACGTTTCATTGATAATAATAATTGATTCATAATAAACGTTTCATTGATATTCACATTCAATTCTTTCCATAAACTTATGTTACTGCAACTACAGTCACTGACGCAAGCTACTACATTATACGATAGTAAATAAAGTTCTGCTATTAATTTTAAAAGTATTTCTCTTGTCATTTTTTGATCAAACCCGATGTAAACAGGTTGCTTCCAATTTGAAAAAAGAAGGTTATTATTGCAACCATACACAGCACACCTAGTACTCAGCATTTTGTTCTTCACCTAACATAAAAATATAGCTTTAAATATTTAATGACTTATATTTAAATCATCTTACCTTATAAAAAACTTAGTCAAATAAAACAATTACAGAAATATTAAAATAAATCACTTCGTTAATCACAAAATTGGACGAATATTAAAAGCGAAAACTAAACACGTGCACACCCTGCTCTATGTAAACAGAGAGGTCAGGACTCGTGCTGACGTCACTAACTTGCCATTCCTGGCTAACATTGTAGAATAGGGATCTGGCTATCCTTGTAGTATATAGTCCTTGGGGGAAGGTAGGGAGGATGAGGACGTTAAGGTTTGAAAAGTCATAAGATGGCAACCACTGAGAACAATAAATTTTTTATTCTCAGCAACTACAACATTTGGTAATATATAATACAAAATTTAATTTTTGAAAAACGTTTTTTAAAAACAAGAAAATTTAATATTTTAAAATTATATGTAAATGCACCATCTTGCCCCACCCGTGGGATAAGATGGGGATATTATTTTTATATACAAGAAAAACAAATTAAAATGATTAAACTGTCGTTTTCTTAAATATTGGCACAAAAACAATATGCCCATTTATCACAGCGGCTACACTTATTATTATTTTCCGAATAAATAAATATAAAAGTTTGAACTTACTCGTATTTACTTTACAAACGATACTGTCACTTTGCATGCTCAGTTTCGCTATTTTGTAAGCAGACAATATTTTTTTTCGTGGAAAAAATTTTTATTTCGATTGTTATCTCATATTTTATTTCTTGTTAAGATAGTATTTAAATTAAAAAAATGTTTTCACAAATAAAATAAAACGTAAAAACACAAATAATAAAGTAATACAGTGTATACTGTATAAATTTATTACAGTTAGAATATGATTTAAAAATGAAATATTTCATTTTCTATAAAAAGATCATTTCTAAACTTATTATTTTATATATTCGAAAAAATGATATAGAATTATCAATGACAACGAATTTAAAGCTAGTTCACTGCACTATATTGCAGTGCTTCTAGCCAGCAGCAGAATTCATGGCCAACCTTGGGCAAGATGCACTTTTCCTACTGACTGCAAACACGGGTCAACTTTATTTCAAAACTAAACAATTTCAATCTTAAAGGTTACTTTGAATACCATAATAACTTCATCTAAAAGGTAATGTAAAAGTTCGCAACGATGCTTACTTTGTAGAAACTTTGTAGCGGGCGTAAAATTAGATGAAGTATTACCGAAACATGGAAAACTATCTTACTTCCAAACAAAGAGAGCGATTCGGACGTTCTCTCGTCTCGTGATCCCTTTTGAGGTTGACATTTAGTTCCCCTAATAACAGCTAGATGAAAGCGCGTTAACCACGAATAAACAAACATCCCCGTCTTACCCCATGGCCCATCTTGCACCACCTTCCCCTATAATTTAACTTCCATTATAATTTAGTTGATATACCGTACATAAGTTTGTTTGCAGGTGAAATCTTACATATTGATAAATTTAATGTGAGAGTTTCTGTTACCAATTGATGGAAATGTTGAATCACCTCTTTCCATCACATGCGATTTAAAGGAAAGCAATTAATAATTAGGATAATATTTTTATACAGATACGTAAATACTTTTAAAATGTTTATGCAATTATATTATTTATGCAAAATATTATTTATCAAATAGTGAAATGACATTAATTTCTTTAGACGTCTTTATTAATGTCATTGTTGGGAGAGATTCCAATTACTTCTGGTGAAGTGTCGGTGAAAGGAAAGATCTCATATGCTTCTCAAGAATCTTGGGTGTTTAACGCGACTATCAAAGAAAATATCTTGTTCGGAGAAGAATATCAAGAAGACAAATATAAAGAAATCTTGCATATAACGGCTCTAGAAAAGGTAAGGCTCTAGAAATTTTTAGTCTTGTTAGCAATACAGTGAAACGAGCATAATTCGTTCCAGAATCTTACTCGTAATGCGAAACACTCGTTAAGCGAAACAATTTTTTTCATATAAATTAATGTAATATACGATAATGCGTTCTATGCCAGAAAAAATACTCAAATATTTTAGGTATAGCATTTATTCAAAAAAATTTTACAATATATATTGTTAAGGAACGTGAATCACCATCTTTTCTTCTAGCGCAGAATGAACCAACCTGGAATGTGAATTCTATTTGCATAAAAGAAAAAAAGTCGAAATAATGTCTGTCAAACGATATGCCAAATTTTTGGGCTATGTAGAGGCTATAATTAGATATTAGAAATTAATTAATTTGACTAAAGGTAGGCAGTTATGCTAACATTTCGTATTAAATTTAATAATTATAAATAATTAATTTTTAATTTAGACATTTATAAAATTTAGTTTGGAGTTGTCATTAAATTTAATACGAAATGGAAGCATAACTGCCTACCTATAGTCAAATTAATTAATTTCTAGTATCTAATTATAACCTCCACATAGCCCAAAAATTTGGCATATCGATTAGCGTGTTTATTACATAACGGGCTATGGTTGCTGATGTTTATACGTAATATGTCTGAACACAAGATTGGAAAAATTTGTGATCACAAGCGACACTAAGATGCTAGCGGAACGAGTGCTAAACACAGACTGACGTAGCATGCGCACAATCCGGGACTTTCTCCTTGTCATTCGTTATGAGAAACGTCGTTTGTTAAGCGAGTCTTTTTACAATTTGTTGCGAATTAATCGTTATGAGAGGTACTCGTTAAGAGAGGTTCTACTGTAATATTTTTAGGCATGTGGTACTAGGAACGCAATCGGTGTTGATGCAATTTCCGTTCTTGTCAGCTCTGTAAATTTCTATGACGTAAAATGATCTTATGTCGTACCGTTCAAAGCCCTGTGTATCAGGGTAGCCTCTTCCCAACAGGGGAATCCTCGGATCGGTGGCATAACGAGCCAGAGCAGTACAGTATTAACATTTACCTTTGCTACATCGTATTTGTGATCACGTAATCTGTATGTAGATCTTATATATGTCAGTCTCCTGTTAAACGTAATGGGATACGGTAATTCTGTGGTGCTCTTGCTTCATCTGAGCTATCTTTAGCGTTAGATACAATGCGAAAATCTCTGGGTTTTCTCTTATAAGTTACGCGTAGATTTAAATCTTTAGAAATCTTCTTGTAAATGTGTTGCAGGGACGGGTCATAGCTTAGAATTATCTGATTAACCTCGCTTTGTTAACTCTTGCTTGATGACTTAGCTTGATGTGTGGAAGCTAGAGAGTTGATTAATGAGCGGCTGTACCCATGTGTGGAAGCAATATGTTTAACTAGATCTACTTTCTTGTTGATATCAGACAGATCAGTACAATGTGAGTACGCTTTCGTGACTAGGACGCTGAGTTAGTGGGTATAAAGAGGCGGACGTATGTATTATAGGTTTGCGGTAAATTGTGGTGTTTATCTTATTATGCGCAACCTAAATCTTGACGGCTAAGTAATTAACTTCTGTGTATCTTTCTTGATCTAATTCTAGTGTTAATCCGTACTTGTTATTATTAAACACTTTTAACATTTGTGAGATTAGCAGAGGGTCAGGAATTAATCCCTTCTGACCACTTACACTGCACAAGATCGGTAAAACCCGATCTCGCGGTCGTAGGATGGCTAGGAGGGCAAAAAAGGGAGTGGGGAGCGCGTCGGTAAGTCGGCAGGTGTCCTTTCGAGACAGGAGACAGGTTTAACAAACTAAACAAGAATTTATTTATATAACTAAGCTAGGATACATAGGTTAAATGAGGTTAAATAAGTTCACTACACAAAAGGGCCGCTCTAACAGTTTTAACGGCTAGTCTGAGAGAGAGAGTTCACAAAGCTCTAAAACAAATACAAATACCTGTATGATGCTATGTCTAATATGCGTTCGTTGAATGGGCCGTCTGAATCGGAATCGACGCAGGAACTGCAGCATGTGACGATGGAAGTATAACTTGCACACAGTTATAAGTATAACTTCCTTTGGTCGCCCGGAGCTTCCGGGGACTCGAGCTTTTCAGTGGCGTGCTGTCATTAGAAGCGGTGGAAGCGTCGCTTCCCTTGTATTTTATAAAAAATAAATACATATTAATTTTAATTATATGAAAATAATCGCACAATATTTTATTATAACCGCATTACGTATCTTATTACAAATTTCTATACAACACGTGAAAAAAAATAAGATTGCTATTGTATGTTCGAATATTAGTGGCGGAGTGGAAGCTCTGTATTGTCAGATTCCAAAAAGCCAGATTTGCGCACGCGCTTTACAGAGCACCAACATCACCCGGTTTAGCCGGTGGAAGCCTACGTCCTTGAGTTGATGCTACACATTCCAACGCTTCCAATTCTATCCGGGACCGTTCCGGGCTGTTAGCCGCCCGCCCGCTAGATATTTGGCCGATTACGTGAATAACGAGTAGATTTATAACTTAACCCAACCGATAAGGATTTACTGGTATGTTTTTACGATAGTTCTGTATAGTCCACAAGAGTTAAAAAATCTATTAAAACATTTGATATTTTTATTCCGCTCTCCGATTTTATATTACTCACGGATTTCGATAAACCAGTGATATTACGATTTCGTACGTCCCATCTCTAAGGGGATGTAGGAAAAAACGTGTACAATTCTTGTACAATGTTAAAAAATTAACCGTTACTTCGACAGCGTCATTTACAACTAAATTTAACGAATGAGAGAGATGCGCGAGGTACAGAAAAAGCTCTAGAATTTATTTTCCTTAAATTTACGATTTATGTATCCGTTTGTCATAAAAATTTGTCTTTCCACTTTTTTTTCCGAGACTACAAATATTCGAGTACATAGTAACTGGTTTCGACTTATTTCTACTTAAGAAGTAGTTAAATAATTAAGCGATTAGGGAATTGGAGACATAAACAAAACCCTGACGAAAGAGCCGGAATATTACTTAAAAAAAAGCTTAACCGAACCAATCTATAGCTGAGTACAGTGGGGACTGATTTCTTCGAAATACTGTATTAGATGTAATAAAGACAGAAATTTTTTCAGTTCGACGAGAGTGACCGAAAAGTTGTAAATTTTGGAAATTTTCGTGGACAACACCTGGTCCTAAAACGAATTAGTTAAAAAACAAAAGACGGACAATCTATTAAGTTTAACGTATTTAGATTTTTACAGCTATGATGAGAAACGTTTAAAATTTACAACAACCCTGTCGCGACCTTTGAGATATATTAGTGATGCGACAAAAGAGGCATTTGACATTGACTGGTATCGGCACCCTCGGGATTTGGCATGCATGCACGCACCGCACACCTACCAAGATCGTCTCCGATTCCATCCACGAGTCACTGATAGGGAGCACTTTTAACTAAGCGGATTGTTTTAATATTTAAAAAGTAAAGAATATCTTTTGCTATTTTTATGTACGTTTCTTCACTAAACTATATTCATACAATCGAATATTTTGTACCAGGTATGTATAACTGTATATCCATCACACATTTTATTTTAACAAGTAAGTTTTTATAATTTTATTTTTAATTTTAGCCTTTATAGCTAGCAATTTAGAATGTAATTGTGATATTGAAAATTTATTTCAAAAAGTTTTGGGTCGAGACCATATAATGAAAAAGAAAACATTATTAAAAGAGAAAGACCAATGCCTAAATTAAATATAAATACTTCAACGAAAAAAATTTGTTCGACATTTTCACGATAAAATTTATGAAGACGTAAAATGGCTCTGTGGATGCATAAAAATGCAAAAATTGTTTTGTTGGCCTTGCCTACTATTTTCAAATAAAATTAGTGTGTGGAATGAGATTGGCTTTGACGATTTAAATAATTTTAGTAAAGCTGGCAAAAGACACGAAAATGCTAAATCTCGCATCGAATCTTCCGTAAAATTGAAGCAATTTGGAAATCAAAATAGAATAGAATTTAACATTAGTACACAATATAAAGTAAATATTGAAAATTATAACGATATAGTTACGGCTAATAGATATACAGTATTATATTTTAATTATTAGATGTTATCGAAGCGAGAATTGGCATTTAGAGGGCGTAGAGAATTTATTAAATCTAATTTAACAGAGTTAATTATATTGAACTTGCTTATTTATTAAGTGCGTTAGATAATCTATTAATTAAAAATACATTTAGAGAAGTCTACGGTTTTTACTGGCTTATCGAACAAACGAATACGAATGGACCCTAGACCATCACTGACTGATTGCTCCTGGAAGTCCGCTTGTTACAAAAACACAGCTTCCCTATCATCAAATGTCACGGCACGCCCCTGGAGCTTTTATACGTTCTTCGTGGGAAATGAGTCACGTGATCGACTTATATTGACACTAACGGTGCATTCCGATCAGTTAAGTGTAAACTTTCCAATCTAACTATGAAAACAATCGGTGACCTCCGATATACTTCTCACTAAGAGTGTTTTTTTTTCATCGGAGTTGTTTACAAAGATTTTTCCGACATCGACGTAAAAATCTCGGATTTCACACATTCAATATATCCAGTTTAGCTCTTTATATAATCAAAATATCATCTACGTAACAGGTATAACTAGGGATATTGTTTTTATAGCGATATTGTTATAACTAGGATATTGTTTAGGTATATATAACTAGGGATATTGTTGAAATTTACTAAGAACCAATTTTCCAACTGTCGTAAGTCAAGTACACAAAGATCTGAAATTTGACTACCCATTGGTATCCCCTGTTTTGGATGTATATGTGTTTATCAAAGGAAAATAGGAGGAATAGGTACAGTAACCATATGTCCTTTATTTAAGAGGACAGTCCTTTATTTCACTGCTCTGTCCTTCAACATTAAGGCATTTTGTCCTTTATTTTGTAAAGTTGACGCAAAGTTTAAAAAAAAATTTTTTTAATAATATATTGAACAAGTTAGTTTTGTATACGCCATCACGACCAGTGTTGCATTGCCACATAGAGCGCAGTAGTGCAGTGTGTCGCCAACCAAACGGCCCACTGACAGTACCAGGGGGTGGACACTCTTATGGGGATTTTTGTGATAGTTTTTTAACTCTCTAGTTGGTGGATGATACACTTGTTAATTAAAGCTGAAATTAGTTGAAAGAAAAAATTAGGGGTTTCTTCCTATTGTTATTAGAAAAGTGGTTTTAGCATTAGAAAAATCAGAACATATACAAGCAAAAAATTCATTGATGCTGTGTACACATTTTATCAAACGTGCATAGACTATCTAAATAATTGGGACATGTTTTTTTTATTGAAATAGTGGTGTTTGAATGGATCACATTATGCGAAATCCCTTTGTGGGCGAAACTAGAGGAAAGCTATATCTTTATTTCGAATCATTGACGGTGAATTATTTACTCGACGGTGAATTATTTGATGAAGTTTCATGTGTAAAAAAATATGTCACAAACGAAAAGATCGACGAATGGTGACAGAATAACCAGCCATCAAAGGTGGATTGAGATTTTTGAACATTTTACAGCAAAAGAAATTGTTTTCAAAAACATTTGTAAAATCGTAGAATTTTCTTTGTCTCCCTGGATCTAATGCATCCGTTGAACGAATATTTTCATTGGTGAATAATATGTGGACGAATGAAAAAAACCCATTTAAAAGTAAGCACCTTAGAAGCATGTATTTCCGTCAAATACAACTTTCAAATGAACTGTATGGAATTTTATGACTTTAAAGCGTGAAACGGCGCTATAAAAAAAATTAATTCTACTGAAAAGTATCAAAATGAATGTTATTTAAATTTTTACAATGTGTGTATGTGTAAAATTTCAGATTGTTTAAAATTTAATGTATGCATTGTTGTATGCTACTATTTTCGTAATAAATGTTATAAACTTATGAATTTTATAAGGTATTTTTTGATTTTCTTCGACATGTCCTTTATTTTCCCCCAAAAAATATGGTCACTGTAGGAATAGGACAAGTGCAAAGAATAAAACGTTAGGTTAAGAGTCGATGAAACCACAAGCTTTTTTGGATGGTAAGTAGTAAATAAACGTCATTGTTGTATCTCCAGATTCAACATTCAACACTAAGAAGGAAGACGTAGAAATATTTTTAATTCACACAGAATTGTTTGATCAAATTAATCACTCGACCATTGTCAAAACAGTTAATGACGCGATGCACATTTTATGGTCAGCAGGGATTCAATATGAGATATGCTTCTTTTCGTAACAGATGCAGCAGCATACCCAATATATATATACAGTGGTACCTCAGGATACGAAATTAATCCGTTCCGAAACTGAGATCGTATCATGAAAATGTCGTAAGGTGGATCATCTTTTCCCATACGATTACATGTAAAACCAAATAATTCGTTCCAACGCGAAAAACATACTCAAATTAAAGCCAAGTAATACATTAAAAAAAATAACTGTAGTAAGAAAAACAAATGAAAAATGCGAACTAATGTAACGTCGTATGGTGAGTTTTTGTTCGTATCGTGGAGCAAAAATATGTTTCGTATGCTGGGGCGTTCGTAACCTGAGGTACCACTGTATACCCTAAATTTTTCTCCGAAAATGCTTCCTATTACGTGCTTAGATCAAGCATTAAATCGTGTCTGTCAAAAAGTACGTGAAAGTTTTCCAAACATCAATGAATTAATTTCAAGCGTAAACAAGTTTTTGTAAAAGTGCATTCTAGACGTCGGGAGTGTTTAGGGTGACTGCCCAACATTCCGTTTCCTTTTCGAACCTGTAATAACCGGATAAGGTACCTGCATAATTATGCTGATAATTACAAAAGCATAAGGAGAATCATTTCAAGTTTGATGCAATCAGCATAGATGCCCAGAATTGTTTCACAGAAAAAGCTATTAAACATGAATTCTCTTTCGTAAAAGCAAATTTTGAATTTCTTGAAAATGTTATGTTAACATTAAAAGGATGTTGCTGTATACTTGTCAATGCACATTACATAGAACATATTTACCTTATATTCTTATTTTTACTATGTTTAGGATATTAGCTTATTTCCTAAAGGAGATCTGACTATTGTAGGAGAAAGAGGAGTGATAATGAGCGGTGGACAGAAGGCACGAATTAATCTAGCAAGGTAAGACAAGTCTCATGTAATATTATATATTTCTACGACTGCAAATATTTCAATGGCAATAAGACATTTTAATGAAACTCAACTATCGCTTATACGTAATTGGTTTTCATTTTAGTCATTACATTCTGATAAAAAGCGTCACCCAAAACCTATACCGTTTCACTCCTCAGTGATGTTTTTTTAATTTTCAGTGATGTAATCCTGCAAGCTCTACAAGACAGAAAAGTGAAAATAATGTAAAATTTTAAAAATATATTGACAGAAAAACAAGAAGAATATTTATTCCGTTATCAGATAAAATCACATTAGATTGGTCACTTTGTGACCTGATAGTAGGAGCATCGTATACTGGTGTTCTATATTTTATCGCCCTCTCTTCTACTTCTTAGAATAAAATACTATAGAACGATGAAACAAGAAAGGTTTTATTTTCTTGTTTTTGTTGGAAAACGATAAATTTTTTTCAAATTCGAAATATTAACACTTAACTGTCCTGTAGCCTTACATAAGTGTAGAATGAAAGTGATTGTAAAGATTAGAAAGCATTTAGCACAAAAGAAAAGATCTATAAAAATAAATATAGGCTTGATTTAATGTTTCAACAATATTTCTTGAATTTAATGGTAATTTTTATATTTTCCAGAGCGCTATATCTGGATGCTGATATTTTCCTCCTGGATGATCCACTGAGTGCTGTTGATGTTCCAGTGGCTAAACATATATTCGAAAAGTAAATATTTGAATTACAATTTTTGCACATTTTAACACATTTCAACTTTTTATGTATTTCAGATGTATAATAGAATATTTGAAAGACAAGATTTGCATTCTCGTTACGCATCAAATTCAATTTTTAAACTCTGCAAGCAAAATTTTAGTGTTAAAGAAGGTGAATATTCAACAGTTTCTTAGATTTGTTTTTTTAAAATTACTTTTTATGGTAATAACCACATTATAATCTATTTTAACAATACATGAATTTTAACACTATAAAGTTCAGATTAACACAAAAAGTTATGAAGTTCATTGGATTGATAAAATGAACTCCCACAAAATATATAATATATAATAGTTGTATAATAGTATACTGTATGTAAACAATATGTAAACTCTGTACCGAAAAAAATTCATTTCGGGAGAAAGACTGTTATTTCAATATAGATACGTGACGACTTAAGAAACTGTATCAGGTCAGTCAGTGGGTCAAGCAGAAATCTGTGACGAATGACTAGTCTTTATATCCACTGGACAGTGATGAGTTTGAAAACAGTTACATTTTCTTTCTATGCATGGTAATTATAGAATAGAGATTACATTACCAGTTCAAAAACGCTTTGGTGAACTTACTAGTAATAAGATAATTGTTACTGATAAATTCTGTAAAAATTGGTAAACAAGTAATAACTTTTCGAATTCAAATACGCATTTGTGTACATTTTCAAGTATACAATATTTTTATATAAAAAACATTCAGGCGATTATATTTATATACGCGATTAATATATTTCAGGGAAAATGTGAATTCTTTGGAAATTTCAATGAATTGGAAAATTTAGAAATACATACAGATGTTCTGCGAAAAGATGTCTCTGAAAATAGCATTGATCTAGAGACTGCAGTTTTCAATGATAATGATATAATTGGAATTCCTCAATGTGATATGAATGATGACATTGAAGAGAGTAACAAGAGTAATGAGGTAAGAATTATTTATTAAACAGTAATCTGAGTGAAAAATTTCAAAATAGAATTGATGTTAAGCAGTTTTCTTTTCTTAGATTGATTTTCCATTTTCTGTACAGTACATAATGAATTTCTAATTATAACAAATAATTCGATTTTAGGAATAAATTGCTATTATGAATTTATTCCTAAAATTTATTAATATAAACTTTTTATTGACTAATACTAGCATTAAACTTTGAATGGCAAAGCCATCATTTTGAATACTAACCAATACTAATTTTATATCAATATTACTCAGAAAGAAATACTAAACACTTTTTGTACGTTTAAAACAGTAGGCAAACTTAAATAATTTAAGTCTTTAAAATGATTTCATATTTTCTCTTACTTAATTAAAGAATTTACTCTTTAAAAACTATTTTATATTTATGACTTTAAAAATTCAATATTTTCTGGAAAAATTAAACTTGGATCAGTTGTGTAAGTTTTACCATATCAGCATGACACCAGATTGGTGACATGTTTCTAACGTTCTTCTTAAAGCAGTTGGAAATCCACTTGTAGGCTACTGATTCGTTAAATTTTGCTTTCGAGATTGGGAGCGAGAGTAGACAGAGCCTGGTGTACGATCTGTGTGTAACAATAAAGTCTCTCGTCAAGTAATAAATATAATTCGTATCATTTCCTTAATAAACAAATTCATTAGACAAGAACGTGACATGGTGACAGGGGTGTAATTTCTACATGCTCTCCTACTACATAAAAGATGTTTTTTCCATTATTTTCTGTTTTATTTGCATCCACCATCTTGTAGCTTTACACCAAAGTGTCAACCTTGTTGACGTACCGCATTTTATGATGGAAGGAAACATCTCGCATAACTGGAGAAACTGAAAGAGATCATCTCAAGTTTATTTAAAAGCTATGGAAATGATTCAAAGACAGACAAGGTAAAAATAGGCCTTTTATAACATTTCTTAGGCGAAGAATATCAGGATGTAATCAAAACTCTCAATTTTGATAATCCCGACGAAAAAAAAAATGTACTACAAAGATTAGAAGCACATTTTACATCTAGAAAGACCACTATCTATGATATATGTAAGGTATATTCTTTAGAACCAGATGAAAAGGAATCTGTCGTCCACTTTTTCATTAGGCTGTTATTTCGGAATGGACTGTATTTGTAAAACCTCGTTAGTTCTCGCGCGATTGCTTTAAACTCACAACAGGCGATCGGCTATAGAGTTTACGTGGCGAAATTTGACCGTTTTGTGGGGGCTAGACCTCTTAAAACACGCAAATTGGTTAAAATGTTCTCTGATTACAAAGACGCAATTAAAAACAAATAGACTGAGTCGCCAAACTGAATGTACTCCTTTCACCAGCATCAAACCTCACCAGGTTTTCAACGGAAGATGTATGGAGATGTTTTAAAGCCGTTACCAGGAGGCTTTTATTTGGCATTAAACAGATACATTATTCAATACATAAACACTTTACAAATGATACGGTTGTATTCAGTGATGACAATTTGGAACCATTAACATAAATACCGAAGATATGTATGTATTTTCGTCCTTCTCCTGTATAATCTGGGCTTATTGGAAGGACTGGTAAAACAGCTGTAATATTCCTATTTAGCAGACCAATGACTAGTCCATTTTAAATCGTCCAACTCTATAAAGGCCGCTTTACCGGGAAACGAGCTGTAAACATTTGTGGAAGTACAGTATATACATTGGTTAGTATGTGCTAAGTTCGACTACATTGAGATATAACAATTTTATGCGACATCATAAACAAATATTAAGTTGTGAGTGTTTACTAAGTCCACCAAATATCGAGTGTTTACTAGGTCCACAAATTCTGTTCAAGTAAGGAAGGATTTTAAGAAATGTTTAGAGTCAAGAGATTTTTGGAACTTTTACAGAAAATAACTTATGTTTACAGTGTTTTTTTCTTTAATTGTCAATAAAAATGTTATAATGAGATATCTGTTTTTCCTTATGGAAAAAATATATCTCATTTGCATATCATTTGCAACAATTTCAAATGATATGCAAATAATCAATGATATGAAACAATTGCATATCATTTGCAATTGTTCAATTTTTTACTATAAAAGGAGCTAATATTCAAAAGAGCAGTTTCTTTCATTAGTGTACATGAAGTAAGTATAACATATCTAATTTACTATTTATATGAATAAAGTATCTTTTAGGTTCTTATAGTTAGAAAGTACATATTAAAATATTTATTCCAGATTTAAGCAAACAACAAATAATTTATATATTTTTTAAAACATTATTACCTGTAGGAATCCGAAAATAACCAAACACTACATGACAATGAAGGAGTTAAGAAACTAGGAATTTCAGTTTATAAATCATACGTGAATGCCGGAGCCGGAAATTTCTTCAAGATTGTTATTTTATCTATGTTAATTACAGCGCAATCCCTTATATGTGCCAGCGACTATTGGCTAATCAAATGGTATGATATTATTATAAAGTATGCTTCTTCACGTGAACTAATTTTTATATAAAATGTTTGATGAAAATATCATTACATTATGTAAACCATATTCAATTTTACATAAAATGATTTTCACTGAAATTGTTTCATATACAGTATTTATGCAGGTATATTACCACTTTATTATTCGGTACGTTTGAACGTCGTTTATATGTATTATTTATATTTAATGCACTTTAGTAGTTTAAATGTATTTCATTCTGTTAAATAGAAAAATCAAAACATTTAATTGTTATTTTATGTTTAATTTTCAGGTTGCGAGATATTAGAATCTATAGCCAAAGTATAGAGAATCTCGACAATATTACATCTAACACAAGTATTTTTCACAACATTGAAGACAATGATTTTTATCACACTGAATATTTTAACTTGTATGTTTACATTGGATTGACATGTGCTGTATTTCTAACAACGTTACCTTCTGGATTATTGGTATACAGATTCTTTACAATGGCTTCTTTCAAGCTGCACAACAATATGTTTCGTTGTATCATTCGAACTCCGATATCATTTTTGGATAACAATCCCGTTGGTATGTAAAATGTATTTACAGATATCTATTTTATTGTTAATCTAAAGAATTTTCGTCCAAAACTTCCCGCCGTTATAGTCTGTGTAATGTGCACTTTGTTCACATGCTGTGTCTTACTGTCAAATCTGCTTTTAGTATTTTTATCGCAGAACTTTAAAAAATCATCTATTTAGATATTTTTGCTGAGCTTTTCTTTCTCAACTTGGTTTCAACAGTGTTTTGATTTCAAGTATTTTTCAGACGATAACTGACAAAATAACTTTCATGTTAATTCTATATTCGTCTGACAGTTACGTAATAGCCTGTAGATTTTCTTAAGGATCTAACAGATAAAGGGTACTTTCGTAAAGTCGAACGAGTTAAACGAGAATGACGTTATCGTTATTCTTATTTCGTTAGACTTTTCGAATGATTCGTTTAGAACTAAATGGCTGTTTCTAAAATCGAAGATACAAATGTTGCTAATACAGCCTTATCCGAAATATTTTTCTTAGATTGCTTCGGGTGGACAGTTACTCCAATCATTTCATCTTTTAATTCACAATTTAAACACTCGAGTAGATTTAGAAACATCGATATCGTCGGGCGCCATTTTCTTAACGAAGTAAACCAACTCTTTCCTTCGTGAACTTCGTTAGAGTTTCGTTCGAAACGTCATCACCGCAGAGCATGCGCACTGAGCGAGACTACTACTTTTCGAACGATTCGTTACTAACGCGTTTAACTCGTTCGACTTAACGAACGTACCCTT